TGAGCTTTAAATGACAAATGTTTTTGAGAATGAAAAAAAATAATAAAATTTACAAATATTGATTAAATAAAAGCACAAAAAAAAAAAAGAAGTTTGGAATTTAGTTTTTTCCCCAATTGGTCAAACCAAAAACTTTTCAAATTGGGTATTTCAGGGCCGTAGCTGGTCCACTCGAAGCAAAAACATTCCCTATCGATTTTAGCGTACACTCGATGCGGAAAGCTAATATTGTGAGCTGAACCAACATCCCGCGGCCATCGGTTCCCTGGGAGGACAAACGCAGGGAACTGCAGAACTATGGCCCAACAAAAGGTGACCCATTTTCCAAAAGCCAACAGCAGATGTCAAGTGGCCCCCCCTGGTAGGCCAGTAGACTTCCATTCGCTTTAGAGGGCCGGCAAGATTGGCCGTAGGCGCTCACGGGGACAGCACAATCTTTTCTGAGGGTCATCCGTGCACCAAAATTAGGTTTGAAAAAGGTCAACAGTGGAAGAAATTGGGGTTCCAATTCAAAAAGTTTCACGATGAAACAAGCGGCCATGGAGAAGGCCCAAAAAGATGCGTGATGCACCAAAGACTCAGCACACGGCTGATCTACTCAAAGTACAACAATCCCTCTTTAATTTGGCGTAAGCCCAACGTGGGGAGCTATTTTGTGAGCTGAACCAACATCCATGCCAGTGGTTCCCCAAGAGGAAGACCTACGGAAAACAAATTATGGGTTCACCCAACGTAGGTGGCCACTTTTTTGAAAGCCACCAAACACTCGGTTGACAGCCCAAAAAAAACGAGAGGCTTCTAGTAGACCATTGGACACCATTCAAAAGTCAACATCGTCTTCAACTTTGGAAGGCAGGCAAGATGGCGGAATGTTTCGAGCTCACAAGATAGCATGGATCTTACCAAAGTGCACGGTCAACCTCAAAACTACGGAGAACCTAAATCGTGACTTCAACCGACGTAGGTGGCCATTTTCTGAACGCCACCAAACACTCGGTTGACAGCCAACATCAAGAGGCTCTAGTGGACCAGCGGATGCCATTCAAGAGTCAACGTCTTCAGCTGTGGGAGGGCAGGCAAGATAGGAGGTATGCATCGAGCTCAAAAGACCGCATTGATTTTTTGAGCTCGATACCTCATGAATCTTTCGAGGGTTAACTGTGCACCAAAGTGTACGGTCAACCTTGCGCCAACAGCCAAGCAGCTGGTTCCCTAGCAAGAAAACCTACAGGAGAAACTAAATCATGAGTTCAACCGACGTAGGTGGCCATTTTTTGAAAGCCACCAAACATTCGGTTGACAGCCGACATCAAGAGGCTCTAGTGGACCAGGGGATGCCATTCAAAAGTCAACGTCTTCACCTTTGGAAGGCCGGAAAGATGGCGGTACATTTCGAGCATACAAGATGGCATGGATCTTTTGAGGGTTAACTGTGCACCAAAGTGCACAGTCCACTGTGCGCCAACATTCAAGCAGCTGATTCCCGAGGAGGAAAACCTTCAGGAGAACATAAATTATGGATTCAACCAATGTAGGTGGCCATTCTTTGAAGGCCACCAAACACAGTGTTGACAGGGGACATCAAGAGGGTCTAGTAGGCCAGTGGATGCCATTCAAAAGTCAACATCTTCAGCTTTGGAAGGCAGGAAAGATGGTGGTATCGAGCTCACAAGATAGCATGGATCTTAAAGTGTACGGTCAACCTTGCGCCAACATACATGTAATGGGTTCCCTAGGAGGAAAAACTATGGAGAACCTAAATCATGAGTTCAACCGACGTAGGTGGCCATTTTTTGAAAGCCACCAAACATTCGGTTGACAGCCGACATCAAGAGGCTCTAGTGGACCAGGGGATGCCATTCAAAAGTCAACGTCTTCACCTTTGGAAGGCCGGAAAGATGGCGGTACATTTCGAGCATACAAGATGGCATGGATCTTTTGAGGGTTAACTGTGCACCAAAGTGCACAGTCCACTGTGCGCCAACATTCAAGCAGCTGATTCCCGAGGAGGAAAACCTTCAGGAGAACATAAATTATGGATTCAACCAATGTAGGTGGCCATTCTTTGAAGGCCACCAAACACAGTGTTGACAGGGGACATCAAGAGGGTCTAGTAGGCCAGTGGATGCCATTCAAAAGTCAACATCTTCAGCTTTGGAAGGCAGGAAAGATGGTGGTATCGAGCTCACAAGATAGCATGGATCTTAAAGTGTACGGTCAACCTTGCGCCAACATACATGTAATGGGTTCCCTAGGAGGAAAAACTATGGAGAACCTAAATCATGACTTCAACCAACGTAGGTGGCCATTTTTTTGAAAGCCACCAAACATTTGGTTGACAGTTGACATCAAGAGGCTCTAGTAGGCCAGTGGACACCATTCAAAAGTCAACATCTTCAGCTTTGGAAGGCAGGCAAGATGGCCGTATTTTTTGGGCTTACAAGATAGCAAGGATCTTTCGAGGGTTAACTATGCACCAAAGTGCATGGTCTACCTTGCGCCAACATCCGTGCAGCTGGTTCCCTAGGAGGAAAGCCTACAGAGAACCTAAAATCGTGAGTTCAACCAACTTAGGTGGCCGTTTTTTGTAAGCCAAACACTCGGTTGACATCAAGAGGCTCTAGTAGACCCGCAGATGTCATTCAAAAGTTAACATCTTCAGCTTCAGAAGGCAGGAAAGATGGTGGTATGCATCAAGCTTAAAAGATAGCATGGATCTTTCGAGGGTTAACTGTGCACCAAAGTGCACAGTCAACCTTGCGCCAACATCCAAGCTGGTCCTCGAAAAGGAAAACCTACGGAGAACATAAATTATGGGTTCAACCAACGTTGGTGGCCATTCTATGAAGGCCACCAAACACTCGGTTGACAGTTGACATCAAGAGGCTCTAGATGACAAGTGGACACCATTCAAAAGTCAACATCTTTAGCTTTGGAGGGCAGGCAAGATGGCCGTATTTTTTGGGCTTACAAGATAGCAAGGATCTTTCGAGGGTTAACTATGCACCAAAGTGCATGGTCTACCTTGCGCCAACATCCGTGCAGCTGGTTCCCTAGGAGGAAAGCCTACAGAGAACCTAAAATCGTGAGTTCAACCAACTTAGGTGGCCGTTTTTTGTAAGCCAAACACTCGGTTGACATCAAGAGGCTCTAGTAGACCCGCAGATGTCATTCAAAATTATATATATATATCTCTATAGATTATATATATCTCTATAGATATATATAGCTCACAAGATGGCATGGATCTTTCGAGGGTTAAGTGTGCACCAAAGTGCACAGTCCATTGTGCGGCAACATCCAAGCAGCTGGTTCACGAGGAGGAAAACCTTCAGAGAACACAAATTAGGGGTTCAACCAACGTAGGTGGCCGTTCTTTGAGGGCCACCAAAAACTCAGTTGAAAGGGAACATCAAGAGGCTCTAGTAGGCCAGTGGATGTCATTCAAAAGTCAACATCCTCAGCTTTGGAAGGCAGGAAAGATGGTGGTATGTATCGAGCTCACAAGATAACATGGATTTTTCGAGGGTTAACTGTGCACCAAAGGGCATAGTCCACCATCATCCATGCAATTGGTTCCCTAGGAGGAAAGACTACAGAGAACCTAAATCATTACTTCAACCAACGTAGGTGACCATTTTTTGGAAGCCACCAAACACTCGGTTGACCGTTGACATCAAGAGGCTCTAGTAGACCAGCGGACGCAAATTCAAAACTCAAAAAAGTCTTCAGCTTTGGAAGACGGGCAAGATGGCTGATGGTAGGCAAGAAGGCTGTATGCATCCATCTCACAAGATAGCAAGGACCTTCTGAGGGTTAACCGTGCACCAAAATTGTCACAAATTTCGGCTCGGCTTCAAAAACATTTCACGATGAAAGACACGAGCAATGCCAGAAATAAAACTTTTTTTTTATGAGCATGCGAGTCATGCACCAAAGAATCGGCACATGGCTTAATTTTTTAATTTTTAAGACTTAACACCGTTGGGTTGGATGAAAGAAAAAAAAAGAAAAAAATTGGCTGGTGTAGAACTGCAGGACCATCCAGTAGGAAGATTTAAGAGAGACACGCAGAAAAGGATGGAGGGAACAAAAATATGAGCTGGCTTAAGATGGCTGCTTTTCTCTAGAAACAAAAACAAACAAAAACATTTGACTTACAAAAATAATCCTCTCTCTCTCTCTCTCCGACCCTCAAAGCTTCCATGTTATTTTTTTTTTTTTTTTTTTTAATTTTTATTAAATTTCAGAAGTCCTTTTTCTTTCCCTCTTGGTGCCAAACGGTCTCAGCTGCTGGTAATAGAACAAAAACTTCTAGAAATAAAAGGGTTCTCGGGATGCCGAGGGTTTCTGACGTTTCCGGGACACCCTCCTCTTTTTTTTCACATGAAAGTCGGTAAATCCAAAGTGCAAATTTTGCCAAGCAGAGTGCCCGCTCTCCGGGGGGAAAGAAACGAGACTGAAGAGGACAAGCGTGGGGGGGGTTTCTTAGACTATAGTCCTAGAACTGTAATAAAAAGCTGAAAAAATGTCTATTAAGTAGAGCATTGCCCCAACTCTGCTCGGGGGAGAGAAAAAACAAAAAAGAAGAGGGAGGCGGGGAAGCTCCACACCGAGGAGAAGTGGGACTGTTTGGGGTGGGGGGGGAGTAGCGGGATGCTCATGACGGGATGCACTGTACTCGATCGGGACCCTCTTCGTCGTCGTCGGAGCTGTCAGAGGTGCTTGGGGAGTCATCAGATTCGTTGTCGCCTGTGGCTTGGTCTCTTCTCCTCTGCGGGGAGGAAAAAGAAAAACAATTATTAGTCAGTGAGCTGAATCTGGTGACTGGAGGACGAAAAAGGACCTTGTTGGGCTGGTCCACTTAAGCAATGGTTGTATATAAAGTACAGAGAAGATTAGTGCTCTTCAGCAGTTGGTTGGACTCCCAACTTTGGTCTACGGTGCTCTCACATTTTGGTCTACGGTGCTCTCACATTTTGGTCTACGGTGCTCTCACATTTTGGTCTACGGTGCTCTCACATTTTGGTCTACGGTGCTCTCACATTTTGGTCTACGGTGCTCTCACATTTTGGTCTACGGTGCTCTCACATTTTGGTCTACGGTGCTCTCACATTTTGGTCTACGGTGCTCTCACATTTCCCAATTTTGGTCTGTGGTGACCCAATTTCCCTTCATCTGTTGCACATGACCCCAATGAATTTAACCTCCAGGATTTAGATCCACAGTCTTCACTGTAATGCAGTTTTACAGCATGGAGGACAAAGACAGAAGCTCATGAAGATAGTAGGTGGATCTGAATCCCAAAGAGGTCCAATTTGATGGGGGTCATGTGCAACAGAAGAATTTGTACTGGAAAGGGCCTCCTTGGGGACACTAAAAATTGGAATGTCTGAATGAAAGACAGAAGCACCACATGCCATGACTGGATCCCAAAGAATCTTTATTCACTTGAATGGTCTACTAAAGTTCACAAAAAGGTAGACAATGTCATGGAAAATGGACTCTAGATCAGGGTTGGATAAGTCCCAGTAGCCAGGTCACTAAAATGCTCCTTAAAAAAATGACAGCTGGCGCCCAAGTTTTTGAGGTTCTCTCTAGTTTGGATTGGATTCCAAAGAATCTTTATTCACTGGTCTACTAAAGTTCACAAAAAAGGTAGACTACGCTATACAAGGGTTCAAAACGGCCCCCTTCATCAGGGCTTGCTGTATACGTGATTGTGGAAAATAGACTCTAGATCAAAGCTGGACAAATCCCATGAGGCGGGTCACCAATGCTCCTTACAAATGACAGCTGGCACCTAACTTTTTGAGGTTCTCTCCTGTTGTCAATGGAGCTCTGAAAACTATCCAGGTGGCTCCTGGATTGAAGGAACTGGCTTCTGAATTCCATATTCATTTGTCCACCCCCGATCTAGATGGTTGAAAGTGTGAGAATTGGTAGTAGGCACACTTCTCAGCAGTTGGACGGACTCAAATTTTGGTCCAATTTTCCTTCTTCATCTATTGTACATGGAATTGGACCTCTGGGATTTAGATCCACCGCCTTTGATGGAATGTGGTTTTACAGCCTGGAGGACAGAGACAGAAGACCATCAAGAGGGTAGGTGGATCTAAATCCCAAAAAGGTCCAATTCGATGGAGTCATGTGCAACAGATGAAGAGTGCATCTGCACTTGAAAAGGTCTCTTGGGGGCACTAAAAACTGGGCGAATCCCATTAGCCAGGTCACCGACTGGCCTTAAAAAAATGATAGTTGGCACCTAAGTTTTGAGGTTGTCTCTAGCCGTCAATGGAGCTCCTAAAAATATCCAGGTGACTCCTGGATTGGGCGAACTGGCTTCTGAATTCCATATCCATTTGTCCACCCCCTGCCTTGCTCTAGATTGCAGAGTGAGTGATAATTGCTAGTAGACACGCTTCTCTGCAGTTGGACTCCCAACTTTGGCCTGTGGTGCTCCTAACTTTCCTTGTTCACCTGTTGCACATGACCCCAAAGACTTGGACCTTTTTGGAATTTAGACCCATGCCTTCCCTCCCCAGTTTTACAGCCTGGAGGACAGAGACAGAAGACCATCAAGAGGGTAGGTGGATCTAAATCTCAAAGAGGTCCAATTCGATGGAGTCATGTGCAACAGATGAAGAGTGCATCTGCACTTGAAAAGGTCTCTTGGGGGCACTAAAAACTGGGCGAATCCCATTAGTTCTCAACAAAATACAGGGACACCACATGCCAAGATTGGACTGCAAAGAATCTTTATTCACTCAAATGGTCACAAAAACTTGATTCAGGGGCTCAATACTGCCCCCTTCATCAGAGGCTCAAAACTGCCCCCTTCATCAGGGCTTGCTGTATTCGTGATGGTGGAAAATGGACTCTGGAACAGGACAGGACAAATCCCATGAGGCGGGTCACCAATGCTCCTTCAAAATGACGGCTCACCCCTAATTTTTTAAGCTCTCTCTAGTTGTGGTCAATGGAGCTCCTAAAAATATCCAGGTGGCTCCTGAATTTGGACAGACTGGCTCCTGAAGTCCATATCCATAGGTCCACCCCTGCTCCAGATAATTGAGAGTGATAGAGTGATGCTCCCCAGCAGTTGGTTGGTCTCTGGTGCTCTGAAATTTCCTATGAAGGCAGAAGCTCAGGCTGAGGACGGTTTAAATGATTCGGCAAGAGTCCCGTTCCGCCACAGCATAGGGGAGGAGCATGTCTACTTGGCGTCCCATCCCCTCTAAGCAAGGTTCCCACCCCCAGGCAACGCCGTCCCTCCCCCGAGAAAGCCGATTTATACTAAGACTAGAGTTCCCTTTTATACCGTCTACTCTCACGGTCGCCCATCATGCCCGGATTCTACACAGGGGGAGGGGGGAGCCGTCTTGCAGGAAGACACAGTAACCTATGTATACCGTACAGAGAGTGGCGAGGAGATGAAGACGCAGTAACCTATGTATACCGTACAGAGAGCAGCAAGGAGATGAAGACGCAGTAACCTATGTATACCGTACAGAGAGCAGCGAGGAGATGAAGACGCAGTAACCTATGTATACCGTACAGAGAGCAGCGAGGAGATGAAGACGCAGTAACCTATGTATACCGTACAGAGAGCAGCGAGGAGATGAAGACGCAGTAACCTATGTATACCGTACAGAGAGCAGCGAGGAGATGAAGACACAGTAACCTATGTATACCGTACAGCAGCAAACCTCGGGCCCTCCAGCTGTGGTGGAACTACAAATCCCATGAGGCATTGCAAGATTCTCACAGCCACGACTCCCGGAGAGAGATGCATGATGGGAGTTGTAGTTTCACCACAGCTGGTGGGCCGCAGCTTGCCTACCCCTTGCCCTATGTGGACAATTGAGTGGGGGGTGGGCTCTGTACTCACCCTGCGGTGGCCCCTCTGTCGTAGATGGTGCATCAGAAACCATAACATGTGGTTGTCGAACAGGTCGGCGTGGTGTAGGCTGTCCTCGTCCCTTTCACGTTTGTTTTTCTTGATAACCTGGTAGGAGTAGGAGGAGGAGAGAAAAGCAGAGTTCAAAGATGGCCGCACACAAGACCGGGACTTTAAAGCTAGCAGATTTCACACCCCGTCATTGGCAGTCCTATTACCCCATGCTGCCGGGGCAAAAAAAAACCCGTCTGCAGCTCAATGCTCCCGCCGGCTGATGAACCCATAGACACAGCCAAAGGAAAAGTGCTCCCCCTTAAAGGGCAGGACCTCTGAAAACTACATAGGAACCCTGGCATTGCTTGCTTCCCTAGAGCAGTGGAAATTAACTTCCCTAGGGAGGCAAGTGATGCCAGGGTCCCTATGGTAAAGTTGGATGGCACCATTGGTGATCTCCGGCAGCGCCACAGCATAGTGAAAGCCTTCATTGCAGCTTTGTGGTTCCTCCCGCCGACCCCTCCATCTATACCGGACACTCTGGTGACACGCGGGTTGGCAGGAAGTACCTCAGCGGGGGGATATAATATCCGACACTTCAGGAAGTGGTGGCAGTGGCGCCCGGAGATTTTCAAAATGGCAGAGATTCAACCGACGCCTGCTGGAAAGGCCATTGGCTCCTTCTTTTAAAAGGGGGGGCGGGGGGCAGCCTGTTATCACCATGCTAAAGCATCCCAAAGGGTGCTATGGGTCCCATTGCAATCCTCAATTTGCGTCATGCTACCATCCAGTGCCCCCGTAACAGATGTCACAGATGGTGGACACCAGGGACGGGCCATATATAACTCGCCAACCTGCTCAAACCGTATCCCGCGGCTCCCCACACGCCAGGCAAGGAAGGGGTTACTCCGCTTGTTTTACCACTCGCATGGCATGAGATTCGTCTCTTGGGAGCGGCGACGATAACACCATATGGGTAGCGATGAGCTCACCGCCGCGCTGACTAATCTCGGGGGCCCACACACGCTTTTCAGGAAGCCTTTAACCCTTCCGGAGCTGCATCGGGGCTGCTGGACGCTAAGGGTTAACCGCCGCTTCCCCAGCTTACCTCCTTCAGGCCGTCGAGCTCGGTCGGCTCCTTGGAGGTGGGCAGCCAGACTTTGACGTCGTAATCGAGGCCGCTGGTCGCCAGGACGGGCAGGTGGGGGTGCGGCTCCAAGCAGTTCACCTGGAAAAACGGTAAAGGGTTCATTAACCTTCAACAAACTTTCTTAACCACTTCACTGGACAACACAAAAGGATCGGCGTTCCGTAAAATCCTTTCCCTGACGTCTATCGCGTTCATCAGACTCAAGGATTTTACAAAACGCGCTTTAAGCCCCCGAAACGCGTCGTCTTTCCTACAGATTTGTCATCAATAGGGATGCACAGATACTAGTATTGATGCCGAGGGTACACGTACTCACCCAAATTGCTCCGATACTAACCCCCGGTCAGAGGGAGATTTCCTCTGACCGGCAGTGCTGCGAGGGAACATGGAGACTGCTTCCCAACCAATCAGGAAGCCGGGCCACGAGGAATGACTAGCGGCCCAGCTGCCTGATTAGCCAGGAAGCCGGTTCCATGCTGATTGGCCGGGAAGCCGGCTTCCCAGTCAATCACATCGAGCCAGCCAAATAGCATGGAGCCGGCTTCCTGGGCAATCAAGTAGCCAGCCAGCAAGTAATGACCGGCCTCCCGGCTTCCCGATTGGCTGGGAAGCCAGCATGCAACCGGCCAAACAGCTTGGAGCTGGCTTCCCAGGCAAATCAAGAAGCTGGGCCCTGGATGTCGGCTCCATGCTACCGGGGAGTACCTTTATCTGTATTCGGTATCGGTGCATCCCTAGTTGTCAAGATTAAAACACTTTTATGGCTCATTCACACAGGCGTGCAGGGACCTGCTCCCGGGAGGGACATGTGAGGTGCGTAATTACGTGCATCTGTAGTGCCCTACGGGAGGGTCCCCACTACGGGAGGGTCCCAGGGTCCCCACTACGGGAGGGTCCCAGGGTCCCCACTACGGGAGGGTCCCAGGGTCCCCACTACGGGAGGGTCCCAGGGTCCCCACTACGGGAGGGTCCCAGGGTCCCTGTGTACAGGCGTGCACGCCATATGGATGTGCACGCCCATGTGAATGTTCGCACAGTTTACATATTTCTTTAAGACATACTGCTGGTAATTTGTGTGGAAATTGTACCCGGGGGACGCTATAAAAGGACGGGAAGACGAGAAGATATGAAAAGCAATACTCCTCTGAGCCCTTTAAAGCGTGCGCGGAGATACACGACGCCTACAACCCCGCTGCTGTGCGCGCTGTACGATTACGGGCTTAACTGCATTAGAGAAACAACGGCGCCTCAGAAAAACGATCAGCTAATCCTAGAAAATAACATTATGCCGGCGAGCGGGCCTCGGAGGCCAGGCAACAACAGCGGGAATGCATATACATGCGTTCTTCTCGTGGCGGCTAACGCTGAATTATGGCGCCTCGCCTGCGAAGGCGAGAGAAGCCTTACGGGAGGGTCCCCACTACGGGAGGGTCCCAGGGTCCCCACTACGGGAGGGTCCCCACTACGGGAGGGTCCCAGGGTCCCCACTACGGGAGGGTCCCCACTACGGGAGGGTCCCAGGGTCCCCACTACGGGAGGGTCCCCACTACGGGAGGGTCCCAGGGTCCCCACTACGGGAGGGTCCCCACTACGGGAGGGTCCCAGGGTCCCCACTACGGGAGGGTCCCCACTACGGGAGGGTCCCAGGGTCCCCACTACGGGAGGGTCCCCACTACGGGAGGGTCCCAGGGTCCCCACTACGGGAGGGTCCCCACTACGGGAGGGTCCCAGGGTCCCCACTACGGGAGGGTCCCCACTACGGGAGGGTCCCAGGGTCCCCACTACGGGAGGGTCCCCACTACGGGAGGGTCCCAGGGTCCCCACTACGGGAGGGTCCCCACTACGGGAGGGTCCCAGGGTCCCCACTACGGGAGGGTCCCCACTACGGGAGGGTCCCAGGGTCCCCACTACGGGAGGGTCCCCACTACGGGAGGGTCCCAGGGTCCCCACTACGGGAGGGTCCCCACTACGGGAGGGTCCCAGGGTCCCCACTACGGGAGGGTCCCCACTACGGGAGGGTCCCAGGGTCCCCACTACGGGAGGGTCCCCACTACGGGAGGGTCCCAGGGTCCCCACTACGGGAGGGTCCCCACTACGGGAGGGTCCCAGGGTCCCCACTACGGGAGGGTCCCCACTACGGGAGGGTCCCAGGGTCCCCACTACGGGAGGGTCCCCACTACGGGAGGGTCCCAGGGTCCCCACTACGGGAGGGTCCCCACTACGGGAGGGTCCCAGGGTCCCCACTACGGGAGGGTCCCCACTACGGGAGGGTCCCAGGGTCCCCACTACGGGAGGGTCCCCACTACGGGAGGGTCCCAGGGTCCCCACTACGGGAGGGTCCCCACTACGGGAGGGTCCCAGGGTCCCCACTACGGGAGGGTCCCAGGGTCCCCACTACGGGAGGGTCCCAGGGTCCCCACTACGGGAGGGTCCCAGGGTCCCCACTACGGGAGGGTCCCAGGGTCCCCACTACGGGAGGGTCCCAGGGTCCCCACTACGGGAGGGTCCCAGGGTCCCCACTACGGGAGGGTCCCAGGGTCCCCACTACGGGAGGGTCCCAGGGTCCCCACTACGGGAGGGTCCCAGGGTCCCTGTGTACAGGCGTGCACGCCATATGGATGTGCACGCCCATGTGAATGTTCGCACAGTTTACATATTTCTTTAAGACATACTGCTGGTAATTTGTGTGGAAATTGTACCCGGGGGACGCTATAAAAGGACGGGAAGACGAGAAGATATGAAAAGCAATACTCCTCTGAGCCCTTTAAAGCGTGCGCGGAGATACACGACGCCTACAACCCCGCTGCTGTGCGCGCTGTACGATTACGGGCTTAACTGCATTAGAGAAACAACGGCGCCTCAGAAAAACGATCAGCTAATCCTAGAAAATAACATTATGCCGGCGAGCGGGCCTCGGAGGCCAGGCAACAACAGCGGGAATGCATATACATGCGTTCTTCTCGTGG